TTTGTCTAACAGTACTGGAGTTTGAACCCAGGGCTGTACTCTTCTAGCCGGCACTCTATCATTTGTTCTATGTCCCCTGCTGTTTTTGCCCTTATCATTTTCAAGTTTTGTCTTGTATTTTTGCTCAAGCTGTCATGGGCCATGAACTTTCTTGTGACTGCATTTGTTACCAATCCTCTTTCTATTTGTCATGTTTGCAGTGCTCAAGGCTAAGAGTTTCAAATCAAGGAGTTGGCTGGACTGTACGACCTTTATAACCTGCCGGAGAGAAGACTTTTTCGCTTCTCTCTGTTTCTGGTAGCCCTAGTTGTTCTCTGGCTTGAAATAGAATTCCAGACTCTGTCTCTGTGTCTTAACATGGCTTTCTTCTTTCTGTGTCTCCCACCACTTAGAAAAACATGGGTCATACTGGATTAAGGAACCATTTTTACTTTATGTTAAGGAATTACTTTAAAATGACCTCTTTCCAAAATAGGTCACATTCAGAAGCACCAGCATGCACTATTTAACCCATAGGATTGGGAAGGTCAATTGGCTTCCTTCCTTTCCTGGCCTGCTTCTTCAGGCTCAGAAATTACTCTGTCTCTTTTCCAGAATTCTCATCATAGTGACCAGAACATGACATTTTGTTCTGTGGTGAATGCTCTGGTAAGAATCTGATGTCACTGTGGAAGTGTTGGTGGTGTTTGCTAGCACCAAAGCCAGAAGCCCTACAAGAAGTCTTTGACTTTGTTTATAAATGAGTTTGTAGCCAGCTGTTCTGACCTTTGGGTAGAGGCATCATTAAGCCAGCTTTTCTGACTCTGGCTCTTCAATGACTCACTTAATGATTTCTCCAGGGTTGATTTGGTTAACTTGGATCACAAAACATATCTAACATTTTCTTAGGAACTATTGCTTCTCTTGGCAATGTGATTGCCTGCATCTGTTTCTCGGTTCATCTGATCCCATCTACTTTCCTTTCCCCCAATACTTTTTGTTGCAGGGTTTTCCTCAGACTTTCTCATTCACTGATATCCTTTTCTGTTTTTCAGTGCCCAATAGAAAACAAAGCAAAACAACAACAAAATACATGGATATTTTACTAGGGTAACCAGGAGAGGTCACTGTGAAGACAGTAACTGGGTGGGAATGGAAAGGAAATTAAGTTTCTTTTAAACTTTAGAATATTATATTGGGATGCTGTTCAGATATTCAAGAGAAGTTGTCAAGAAGTAAAATGCAATAGGCTGAAGCTTGGGTAAAGGGTAGGGTTACAGATTGACTTGTTCATATACGTTGGATGTATTTTATTCTGAGGCTGTAGAACTCAAGATTACCTATGTTGAAGAGAAGGATGTCAGAGTATTACCTTGTTATCAGGGGTGTGAAGGCGCTGGAAGAGGAGGCAGCAAAGGCAGCACAGAAGACATAGAAGTAGGATTTCTTGAAGCCAAGTCAACAAAATGCTTTAAGAAAGACAGTCATTAGTCCTAATGCTTGCTCAGTGTTCCTGGGTGGACAAGTAAGATGAGGACCAAGACTAGATCTCCTTGGCAATCTTGACAGAAGTAGTGCAGTGAAATAGTGGAGGATTAAAGAGAGACTTCTCTGAAGAGGAAATAAGGATGGCCAATAGACACATGAAGAAACGCTCAACTTCTCTAGCCATAAAAGAAATGCAAATCAAAACAACATTGAGATTCTACCTCACCCCAGTTAGAATGACTTTAATCAAGAAATCTAGTAACAGCAAATGCTGCAGGGGATGTGGCCAAAAGGGATCCCTACTGCATTGTTGGTGGGAGTGTAAACTTGTTCAACCGCTTTGGAAAGCAGTATGGAGGTTCCTTAAAAGACTCCACATAGAGCTCTCCTATGACCCAGCAATCCCGCTTTTGGACATTTACCCAAACGACCACAAACAAGGCCATACTAAAGCTACCAGCACAACTATGTTTATCGCAGCATTATTTACCATAGCTAAGATATAGAACCAACCCAGATACCCCTCAGTAGATGAATGGATCAAGACAATGTAATATGTATATATGTGTGTGTGTGTATATATCTATACACACACACACACACACACACACACACACACAATGGAATTCTATGCCTCCATCAGAAAGAATGACATTGCCCCATTTGTTAGGAAATGGAAAGACTTGGAAAAAATATTAAGTGAAGTAAATCAGACCCAAAGAAATGTAGGTCTCATGGTTTCTCTTATCTGCAATAACTAGTATATGTCTAGGATAATCTTACCAGACAAACAGAAAAGGTCAAAAGTTATGTACTTATGACCATATAAGTGATGCTAAGTGAAATGAACCCCAAGATAGGGACACAGGTGGTTTTTTGTCACTGTTGTTTTTAATACATTATGTGATTTTTTGGTTTCTTTTGTATGTTCTTCCACCATGGTATGACCCCTGTTGTCACTGTATTTGATTCTGGTTCCCTGCATCTTTTTTTTTTGTTTTTGTTTTTGTTGTTGTTGGTCGTGGGCTTAAAGTCTGGGCCTGTGTGCTGTCCCTCAGCTCTTCAGCTCAAGGCGAGCACTCTACGGCTTGAGCCACAGTGCCACTTCTGGTTTTCTAGTGGTTTATTGGAGGTAAGAGTCTCATGGAAGGGCTGGGAAGGTGGCTCAGTGGTAAAGCGCTTGCCTTGCATGCCTGAGGCCCTGGGTTCGATTCCTCAGCACCACATAAGCAAAAAGAAAAAAGCCGGAAGTGGCGCTGTGGCTCAAGTGGTAGAGCACTAGCCTTGAGCTGAAGAGCTGAGGGATAGCGCCCAGGCCCAGAGTTCAGGCCCCATGACCGGACCCCCCCCCCCAAAAAAAAAGAGTCTCATGGAGTTTCCTGCCCAGGCTGGCTTTGAACCGTGATCCTTGGATCTCAGCCTCCTGAGTAGCTAGGATTACAGGCTTGAGCCACAGGCGCCTGCTGTTCCCTGCATCTTGTATATGCATTTTTCTAATTTGAGGAGGCGAAGGGAAATAAAATGCTGAAAGAAGGATACAGGTTGATCCATTGTGACAATGAGACATACAAGACACTATGTTGAAAACGAACTTTACAACTTGGGGGGTGGGGAGGGAGGAGTGGAGGAAGTAGGGAGGGATGGTAGGGGAAAAACAAAGGAGGGGGTAACAATGCTCTATAGGAAATGTACTCATTACCTTATGCATGTAACTGTAACCCCTCTGTATGGTATCTTCACAATAAAAAAAAAGAAATAGTGGAGGATAACCTATTCAGAACAGATACTTTTCTTTCATATAAAACAATGGAACTTTGCCTAGCAAGCATGAGGCCCAGAGTTCAAACCCCTGTACCCCCCCCACATATATACCACACAAGAACTTTTTATGCCTTCGAAGAAAACAACTGCCAACTTTCCAAAAATGTAAACATCAAGAGTGAAGATGAAATAAAGATGGTTTCAGAACAAATATTTTCTCCACATGCACCAGAAAACCAGTACTAAGGTTGTGTGTTTCTGATTTTTTTCTTTTTACAGGTAATGGGGTAATAGCACAGGTTGAAGCATGGAGATGTAGGAAGGAGCCCAGTTAACAGAGTAAATACACATAAATCCAGTCAAATCCAGGTAAAGCCAGGTTAGACTAGGGCGTTAGTTTCTGTATATCAATATTACATTCTCAAATCAAAGAACTTCCCTGTCTCTCTGTTCTTGGCAGATGATGGTAGAGAGATGGTGGTTAGCTGAAGAGCTTTCTCTCAGCAAACCTTCTCTCTGCACAATGAGCTATTCTCTGAGAATGAGGGTTATTTAAATGGGGGATGGTGGAACCCACATTGTAACAGGGTCTGTAAGAAGGATGGAGGAAGTAAGAGAAGACAGAGCTCCTGCTGATGACATTAGCACAATTCTATGACACACTGGGATTTTGTTACACATTTTTGCTCAAGAAGATTGTTTTACTATTGAAAAACAAGAAAACAAAATCCGCACATCCTTCTCAGGCTCTTATTAAGAGATGGTGCTGGTCTATTAAGCTTTGTCTTTTGTGATAGCAGAATTTTACTTTGCAAGATGAAGCTAGATTTTAGAGCCTTTCTCAGGGTTATGTGCTTCATCGAGCTACTCCTGGTTTGTTTTTGTTCGTTGTTTGTTGTTGTTGTTTTTTGGTCGGTCATGGGGCTTGAACTATGGGCCTGAGTGCTCGTCCTGAACTCTTCAGCTCAAGGCAAGTGCTACCACTTGAGCCACAGCACCACTTCTGGTTTACTGGTGGTTAATTGGAGATAAGAGTCTCACAGACTTTTCTGCCCTGGCTGGCTTTGAACCATGACCCTCAGATCTTAGCTTCCTGAGTAGCTAGGATTACAGGCGAGAGACACTGGTGCCTAGTGAGGGCTCGTTTTAAAGATTAACAGATTTCTATTGCTATGACTTTGATGTTTTTTGCCTATTTTCTTCCCCTCCAATGTTGTTCAGAAACAAAAGTTTTGCTGAGGGAAGCCTCATTTTACTGGGGTCATGCCTCCAGGCAAGGGATGAGAGGACTCACGTGACCTTCCCACTCTCTTCCAGTTCAGTAGATTTTGTAGCTTCAGGATTTGGCAACTTGCTCTTGGCACAGCCAAGAATGAATAATTCTGGTAACGTGACATACTCACTAGCAATAAGGGAGAGAAATCTTGAGCTGAAGGTGTATGAAGCATGGAGACTTGGAAGGTACTGGACTGTAGCTTCAGGTCATGTGTAATGGTCACAAGTGAGTGATTTATTAATGTACTCAAGCACAGACTTATTTTCAACATGTAAGAGTGAATAATTACTTGCTTTTTCAAAAGGCTCTTAAAAAGGCTCTGGAAAAGTTGGCATGAAGAAAGAGAACTTTTAATTATCTGAGTAAAACAAGAGTCAGACCACACTGGAAAATTTCTAGCAAGTTTACTTTGAAGACAGGTTTTAGAACAAAGATTCTACTGCATTTCAAACTCATCACCTATATACAAAGAGATACATTAAGATCCTGAGCTTGGCATTTTATTTATAAACACAAAGTTGAGAATGTTGATAGTAAAATATATCAATATTAAATAAAATTTGATGAACAGGAATCCTACAACTGGGAGGATATCTCTGCTTTGTTAATTTTAGTGACATCTTCCCAACCACGTCTAATCTTCAGTATTTTCTTCCTGAAGCACGGCAAGAAGAGTATGGTTTTACATACCAGGACCACAGTTGGGAGGAAAATAGCTATCATAAAAGTTGGAGGTGTATACCATATAAATTGCTTTATATCTACCCATTTATTCCAGGCAAAAATCAATGCATGTATTGTACCCAGTAGAAGGGAAACAATTCCTAGTTTGCTCTGAAAAAGAAAAAAACAAGATTACCTTAGTGAAGATTGGCTCAGTAATAATTATTTCATTCAATCTCACCTGGATCTGTTCTTTGCTTGGAAATCTTTTTATCCATCTATTTTCCTAACACATTTCTCAACAATTTTCATTCACATTCTTTTTTTATGTTCCTTCTTACTATATCACTTTTGTGTAGTCTTTGTGTCTCTAACATAAGCTGAGAAAATTTACAATGTTTCTTTTAGTATTAAATGATCCGTCTTATCTTTCCTTTCTCACCATTTTGTTCATTTTATGAGATTTCTATCATGGCACTTTGCACTTTGTTCATTTCCCTCAATATTGCCAATCAAGAGTCTTCTAAAACCAGGAATTATGTCTTGCTTGTCACAGGATCCTTGCAGAATGGTTTGCTCATAATAGGTGTTCAATAAATACTGGCAGGATGACTGAAAGTTACCACAAAAATCAATTTGACTTCAAGTATTGTTATCAATTGTGAAGCCAACTAATGTAATTCACATGGATTTTGCTAAATGAATATAAAAATGAGTGGAATTGGTCTATGTTCTCAAAACACTGGATATTCTCATAAAATGGAAGCGTGCTAGCAATTATTTCAGTGTTTAAACAAAGTCAACTTCAAGATATGAAACAAATTTTTCAATTTTCAATGGAATGTTTTGGCATCATCCAGAGAAAGCTCCTTGCAAATAGTTGTTCACCTAAGTAATTTTATGGCATTCTGACAAGATGACTTTTGACTTTTGTTCATTTTCCTGGAAATGGTCATTAGCCTGTCAGTACAAATCCAACTCAGAATCATTCAATTGGACTCTTAAGCCCTAATGAAGACAATTAAGTAGCATAGTTTATGTTTTTAGATAAGAAACTATAAGGTAAATCATGATAAAACTAGTTCTCAGATTCTAACTGAAAAGTTTCTAAGTAATTGGAAAATACATATGTATGATTAATTGTAGATTAATCTTATAAAATATGTATTATATACTTATCATGGGCTACACATTACACATATGATGGAATATATGGTCAAATTGTTGTGCTGATAGTTCATGTCAGTTATCTTAGTTACTTGGGAGGCTGAGATCTGGGGATCCCAGTTCAAAGCCAGCTTAGGCAGGAAAGGCCATAAGACTCTTATCTCCAGCAAAAAGCTGGAAGTGGGGTGAGGATGGGAGAGAAAAATTGGAAAAGAGTGAGGGATGGGGTGACATTGTCCAAAAATAAATGTACTTTTCACTTTAGTTATGTACATCACTTATATAATAACAATTTAAAAGGCTTCAAAAAAGCTAGAGTTGGCTCTGTGTGTTAAGCAGTAGTGCACTAACCTTGGGCAAAAAAGTTGAGGGACAGAGCCCAGGCACTGAGTTCAAGCCTTAGTACACACACACACACACACACACACACACACACACACACACACACACACACACACACACACACACACACGATGTACTTGAACATAAAGAGTATAGTATTTCCACCTAAAAAGTGGGACTCAGCATATGTGTGACAGGTAGGGCAATGCAAGAAGGAAGCCAAATTTCATGAGGAACAGAGAACCCGATGGCCACCAGGAAGAAGATGAATAAATACTTTGCTGGCAGGATGTGGAAGCATCTTTAAACCACATTGGAATAATTTGGATGGAGAGATACTTTCCAGACTAACCAGATGCCCTGGTAAAATATCTGTTGGAAATATGTGTGGATATGTAGAAAGATAGTGAGAAAGTTTTACTTTGTAGCCATTTCACAAAGGCCAACCTATTGAAGTTAAAATTATGAAATTAAAAAATTACTAGCAATGTTAAACATAATCCTTTTCTGAATTCTGATGCATTGTCTTTGTGTGTGTGTGTGTATGTATGTATGTATGTGTATGCCACTATGTATGTATGTATGTGTGTGTGCCACTAGTAGGGCTTTAAATCAAGGTCTCATGTGTTTTCTTGTGTTATTCTACGACAGAAGCTGCACCTTCACTTCTGGCTTTTTGGTGATTGATTAGTTGGCAATAAGAATCACTTTGATTTGTCTGTCCTGGTTGAACCATAGTCCTCAGTTCTTACTCTCCTGAATAGTTTAGGATTATAGGCACGAGTAACCATTGTATTTTTAAGTATAAACTCCACTAGGTGATAAACTTCAGTAAATGTGAGATAGTTTTGAATTATAGAAATATTTGGAAGATTCAAATGAGCAAACTAAAGGTAACTTGGAAAAAGCAGGTCTTAATATAATAGAACGTCTTTGTCAGAGCTTCATAAAATATCACATTAGTTAAAACTATTCTTATTAGATTGAAATAAATTGCCTTAATATACTTCAAATGTTAGAAGGACTATTTTTCTTATAGTAATGACTTTTATTTATGCCTACAAGATGTATCCTATTTAGAAGCAATAAGAACAACAATAAGAAGACACATTACTATTGGGAACAAGTGTGAGATATTGACTATTGGAAAACACTTATTTTTTATGGAGTATAGCCAATGTACTTGATGTTACAAACACACAAAGACTGCCTTCTCTGAGGGACTAGAATTATTTTCTATCTCATTTACCTGAACATAGTGAAATTCTCTCCATGTCAAAGAGTCGCTCACAGATGGAATAGATGTCACAGCCAAGACAGCCAGGATTGCAAGTCCCACAATTCCCAAAGACACATAAATCTCCATTCTCCAAACATCATGCTCAATCCAGGCATCTTCTTTATTTTGCTGGACCTACCAGAAAGTAAAGAAAGAAAGAAGGAATGCAAACCACTTATTTCCCACATGTTAATCTCTCTGTATTCCCCTAGTCTCTATGGTAGTCTTGATAACTAGGGGCCTACATAAATTAATGATCTTTTTGCAAAAATTATTATGACCTCTTTCCATCATTTCTCCCATCTTCTCATCCCTACTTATCTGTACAAGTTACTTGGTTCTATTTTCACATATGTACAATGAATATTATGATAGAAGAGGGGATCCTGATCAAGATGCATTGTACTAATATGCTGACATGTTGAATTGAAACCTCTTTGTACAACTCCTCAAATATAATTTTTAAAAAATAAAAAATGAAGGGGCTGGGAAGGTGGCTCAGTGGTAGAGTGCTTGCCTTGCATGCATGAGGCCCTGGGTTCCTCAGCACCACATAAGCAGAAAACGCCAGAAGTGGCACTGTGGCTCAAGTGGTAGAGTGCTTGCCTTGAGCTGAAGGACAGCACCCAGACCTAGAGTTCAAGCCCAGGACTGGCCAAAAAAAAAGAAGCTCAGGGACAGTGCCCAGGCCCTGAGTCCAAGCCCCAAGACTGCCTCCCCCCACCCCCCCGAAAAAAAAATAAAAAAAATAAAAAATGACATTTCTTTTGAAGTCCTCTAACAGGAATAACAAAGGACTTATTAAATGCAACACTTACAAATTGTTATAAACTAAATAACAATAATTTAATAATTTACTTGGATAGAATTGGAATGTACATCTAATTTGTGGCCAATAAGTGAAAGATAAAATAATCAATATTAAAAAAGTAATATTGTGGGGGGTAGTAGGAAATCTAAATGTGGCGCTGTCCATAAACAAAATATTTTTTCATGTTGCTAAAATTATACCATGTCAGCCTAAAAAGCTGTCCTCAATATAAAACCAGAAAACCAAGTCTTACTGAGGTTAACACAATACAGGCACCCAGACACCCAGACACACACCCACCACGCAGGTTACTTTATCACCATAAGGTTTCAACAGGGAATTGGGGTATTGCTATCACAATGAGAAAGGATTAGTTCATTTCATGACTTAGATTTTTTTAGTTTCCTAACACTGTCAGCATCCTACCTGTTGATATGCCCAGTTTAACAATCTGTATCTGTAGGACCGCCTCATTGGATAAGATAGACTATAAATTGCATGCAGTACAGCAAAAAAGAAACTGAGAAGCCCAAACTGCTTCCTGGTTGACATCCACCTAGCTAACCATGGTGGAAACATCTTATACTTCGTTCCATTACGAAGTTGCACCAGCGAGGCTATGACACCGGGCAGATAAACCAATGCTAAGAGGGTAATGGAAACCATCGGTAAGACTTTGTTGATGACCAGGATTGGAATTTTATAAAAATATTGTTGATGTAAAGTTACTAAAGGGTGAATTATTTCCCTCAGGAGAGTGTACAAAAAAGTCAGAGATGCTACAATAGCAGATATTTTGATTGGCAAGCGCCAGTTGGGAAAGAGTTCCTGCTTGTGCTGAAGATCTGAGGGGCAATCAAATTCATCCGCATGGGCTGTTTGTTGCAAATGCGAAAGCACAGGTCTTTTCAGCATGCTGGTCTCTCCCAGGTTCTTATTCTACAAAAGGAAAGGAAAGAAGCATCTTCAAATGAAGCAATGCAATTTCTCCTTTTCTAATTATTTATAAATGAAGTCATTAACGAGGGCAATTCTCAATGAATAAGGGCAGTTGGAATCTTGCTTTTGGAAAGTGGTTAGCTAAAAATAGCATCAAATATATAGTATTGACCAAAAGGTGCACTTCTGCTATTCATTTGTTTTTAAGACAAAAGAAATACAGGTTTATGATATTTCTGCTAAAGCTTAGGCCAAGTGTCTGTTTGATGATGCGAAATAATAAGTAAGGAAACAAGGAAACTAAAATTTAAAAAGCACTGAAAAATGCCTATAATGTTTGGTAAAAATAATAACTTGTACATTGTAGTTGTGTGTTTTCCAGTGTTTTCGCTGGTTTCTTGACAAATACGCAGAATTGTCTGATTCTAAGGAAAATGAGTTATAAAAGAAATACCCCGGAACAATAACTAATATAAATAATACCACAAAATAATTTTTCTTATCCAAATCTGCAGAATTAACAGAGAATTTTGCAGAATCCATGGATAATCTGTCATTGGCTCAAATACAAAGGATCAGGAATAATGTGGTCATTACTAGTAGACAAAATATGGAATTTCATCATGTAATCTTGTGCTTTGATTTTATATTTTAAATAACTCCTTTGTCTAAGCACCATAGACAAATATACTATCAGGAGGTAAGAAAGTGTATATAACTAGTTAAATTCCACAGAGATGATCTGTTTCCTGAGAAAGTTACATTTCTTTATTTATTTGCATTTGTAGGCAGTCAGCAATCCAAAAGAAGTTTTCATTGAACGATTTGTCATTTTCTCAACTCACTGGTATGTTGAAAATAAAAAAGAAGAAAATAGTAAGATCTTCTATTATAGTGTTTCATATTGTGCTGATTTATGAATAATTTACTTCTCATCCAATATGGGCTTTTTCATTTTTATAGTTCTGGATTTGGAGTCAGAACATTTTAGTGCTTGACATGATTTTAGTGATTATCTTGTTCATCTCATATTGTGCAGAATAACTTGATTCACATATAATTTCTGATGTTGTAAAATGACCTCTTTGGCATTTAATTTTACCCCCAGTAATAAGCCACTCTTATATCCAATGCTCTTTTTGGCAATTACTCCATCTAGAAAAGATATGGCTTTGGTCATTTCTGAAGCATGTGAAGACAATCTTAAGTGTAATCAGCTGAGATCAATTTTCTGGTCAGGAGTAAAGAATTACAGAGTTACAAGATAGACAATAATAACTTGAAAAAAATAAAAGCGATTTTGTATTATTATTTATAATAATCATTTTTATGGAGGATACATATTAAAATTCTCATTTTTCTTTGACAATGATAAAGGTAATTTCTGTTAAAAATTGCATTTGAAATCATTTAGAAAGGTAAGAATTTAGGGAGAAAAGTTTTTCTTCCTTTTTAGTAAGTAGTAAGAACCATTTAATTTTGTGGGGCTGACTGAAAAGAGGGGTGGTGATTCTTATCCCAAAGTGAATTTATTTGGTTAACTAATGAGTCATCCTTTTCTTTGGTGATCTCTCAGTAGGCTGCCACAGTGTCTATGAAAAAGAATAAAGCTTATAAAACAACTGCTCTATGGGCATTTACAACTTATTTTTATTATATATATTATATAATTAAGTAGTTGCCAAAGGAATTGCCATTCAACATAGCAGCTCATGAATACAATACATCTTGATTAATATCACCCCTCTCATCATTCTTCCCATCCCCTCCAACCCTATCCCTTCTTCAATGTCTTAATTTTGTGGGATACACATTAAATTTTATGACTGCGTTCTCCCTCCTTTCCTCTCTTCATTTGTCTACCCCTTCCCCTTGACCCTGCTCCCTGTTTTGTTTTTAAACTTAGAACCTAGACAGTATGATTGGAAGACCTTGGAGACAATCTGGACCAGCTCTTTCACATACTAGACAATGCAAGATATGGGATTTTCACTGACTTATACAGATTATTACGCTAAGTCACTGACAGTCAAGGCACTATTTCTATACCGTATTTACAGTAATACTGGAACAAAGATGGGAAGACTAGAGCGAACACTATCAGGGTTTATAACACTTGTAGATTAAGAATATCATTCAGATTATATTTAAAATTTAGATGAGTAACTATTATTTTTACCAAATAATGATCATCCTCTAGGTCTCTGCTAGGCTTCATTTCCCAAAGTTCTTCTTGATTAGTAATGTCTTTTCCGCACTCCATTGAGTCTTTAGAATAGGATAGTTTCAGCCACCTAAAAAAACCCCAAACTATTATTTTCAAATCTATTTTATGAATCAGTATTTGATGGGACAGTGAGAGATTTATTCATCTGAAGACTAGAGGGGGCAGATAAAGAACATTTAAATAGAAATATGCTTACCTTTCACATTCAAATAGTCTAAAACAAGTGGACTCATGTTAACAGTAATCTTATCTTCTCTGTCCAGCTATTTGTATAAGAAATGGCACATATCTATAACTTTAGGTTCTCATTTAGTGGAAGTTAACTTCCCCCCCCAAAGTAAATAGAACTTGGAATATTTAGAAATATGGAGTGTTTTTGAAAGTAGCAATGCTATCAGTAGAGGTTGGAGGTAGCTAATATACATATATTTTTGTGTGCATATTCTGGGTTATGAATTCAGGGACTGGGTGCTGACCCTGAGATTATGTATTTATGAGCACATAAACCACACAAACTTTAGCTCTACCAATTGAGCCACAGACTCATTTCCAGGTTTTTTTTTCCCCCAGCAGTTTATTGGAGATGAGTTTCATGGACTTTCCTGCCTGGGCTGGGTTTGAACTTGCAATCTTCAGATCTGAACTTCCTGAGTGGCTAGGATTTTAGGCCTGAGGCTCCATGCATGGCAGAAGTTTCATGTTTAATAGACGTTTGGGGTTTGGCACTGGAATCTGAAACAATAATTAGTTGCCTTTTTTTTTTTTTTGTCAGTAGGGGCCTGAATCTAGGCCTGAACACTGGCCCTTGGTTCTTCAGCTCACAGCTAGTGCTCTACCACTTGAGCCACAGCATCACTTACGGCTTTCTCAGCTTACGTGGTGCTGAAGAATTGAACCCATGGCCTCAAGCATTCTACCACTGAGCCACCTTCCCAGCCCAATTAGTTGCTTTTTATGGGGAGATATTCCTGAGTTTCAGACAGTGAACAAAACAGACACAATTAGTCAGGTGAGCCCTGATAATGGCAATTTGGGATAATGGCATTTTGGGATGCATTTTTTAAATGAGAACAATGGGCTGGTCTTTGTTAGTAAGATATAAATTGTCATGCTCAACCATTGACATGCCCAATCTTCTAGCCAATCCTGTAGAAAACATTGTCATTTTTCTCCCCCCAGATAGAGCAGTTTTCCCTTAATAAATTTCAAAAATCTTAATCCAGGCTTGGTGTAATCTTTTTTAAAGAAAAGATGATGTCATGATATTATTCATTGTTTTTATTAGTTATGAGTTTATGTCCAGAGGAATGCATCTGCAATTTGTACTTTATGGAACTGAATGAGAAAAATAGATCAGAGAACAGACTGGCAGAAAACACAAGTATTTATGAATTTTATATTACCTATAAAACCTTATAAGGTGAAAAATTGTTTACAGGAAGAGTTTAGAATATGTAAAGCATTCTTCAAGTTTTAAAAGTCACCTTTATATACTGCCAGTGTTTCTTTGTTCAGTAATTCTTGGAACAATTTCCAGATATTATCTTAGAGATTCACAACATTTACAATTAGGATATAGAACAAGCATCCCTAACCTGAAAATCCAAAATCTGCAATGCTCCAAAGTCCCAAACTTTGAGTACTGATCTGATGCTATAAGTAGAAATTTAGGTTACAGTCTTTCTGTCTGTCTATCTATCTATCTATCTTGTCCTTTATATTCTATAAAATTATCTCAAGCCATGTGTGTAAGGTGTGTATGAAAGCTGAGTGAATTTCATGTTTAGACTTGGGTCCCATTTCCAAGAAAGGTATGTATATGCAAATTATGCAAAATAAAGAGAATCTACATCCCAAACACTTCTGGTTCTAAACATTTTGGATGAGGGATATGTGAACTATATTTTTACTGTTTTGGTTTTCTCATATTATTTTATTTATTTATTTTTTGTCTGTCATGGGGCTTGAACTCTGGGCCTGGGTGCTATCCCTCAGCTCTTCAGCTCAAGGTGAGCGCTCTACCGCTTGAGCCACAGCACCACTTCCGGTTTTCTCATATTCTTTTCCCACTTTTTTTTTTCTTTCTGATTTACAATGTTTTCTTCATTTGGAGAAATACCCCTCTTCCATCCAGTATGGTGTAAGGTTGTCAGTTAATTATAAAAAACATTTTGGCCATAAAAATGGGCCTATGACTCAACTTTAGTCAGATGGTTTTGGAAGGTCAAGCTACTCCAGTTGACCAATTACAGTCATCTGATATTCTTATCTGGAAGTGGTAGAGAAAGAGTCAAAGAGGAAAAGACTTTTTAACTTTTTGTTAAGTTGAGATGGTAAAAATCTATCATGCTTTTCTCTCCATTTCCTCCAATGCTATAAGGAGGAAGATTTTTTATTTCAACAGAAGAATGTCAGAACAAGAGATGGAGAAAGATATAGAAAAATCCTGGTGACACATTTTGAATAGACTCCCAGGGGCCAGATCCCTCTCCTTTCCTCTTCTCCCCTCTTTTCCCCTCCCCTCTCTTCTCTTCCCCTTTCTACCCCTCCCTCTTTTTTCCTTAAGTACAGGTCACTATCTTCCTTTTTTGAGTTTGCTTGAGTATTGACCACTGGCATTTGAAGGAATTCTGGGTAAGGCATATACTTATCACTAGGCATTCATGAACCCAGTTCTGTTGGTGCCTGCTCTGGTGGAGTTTAGGGCCTGTCCTTAGGAAACATTATTCCATGTCATTTGGTACCTTAACCAACATTACAAATAGAGTCTTTGGGAGGGTGATCAAATACAAGAGGTAATATGCCATATTTAGAGGATGCTCTAATTCTCAGTATGGAAAGCAATGAACACATAAATCTGTATTCAGTATTAATTCATTAACTGTACTGTGAACAGCGGTATCAGAGAATAGAAATACACAGTTAAATGAGGTCTTACAAACCTTGAGGTCTAGGAGAGAAGGCACATAGTCACGAAATAGTGCAATGTTTCCTAAAGGAAGATAGTCTTCTATAAACAGATGGTAGCACGGGAAGGGAGGAAAAGGGTGTGATCTCTTTTCTAGACACCATTCTGGGACATCCAGTAAGTTGGTAAAATCTGCTAACAGAGAGCCACTTGTAGATTTCTGGATAGAAAACCAGAATGGCCTTACAGAGGTACCCAGCCAGCCGTTCATCAGCAGGGCAGGCTGCTGAAGAGCAAGGCCAAGAAAAAGCCCATAGCAGTGAGAAGACAGATATCCTGGGTATTGCAGTCTACCAGGTAAACAAAATGTCACTCAAATAAAACATGTTGGTTTTCATCGGATATTAACCAAATATACAGTTGAAGTTTTACCATCATTTCTTTTTCCTTTTTATAGAACAAACAAACAAACCTAACTGGAAACAGCAGAGTGTGAAGATGTGTAGGAACGCCAGAACTTCACTCATTATTCTCTAATTTTGCCTCCATATTAAAAAAAAAAAAAGGTGGAGCATAATTCCCAATGCGACTTCTGTTTTTGCTGTACCAGGATCGCTGGCCTGATGATCCTGCTAAATATTGACACAGCTCAACTGACTCATGTTTATGGCCAAGAGTTTAGAATTTAAGAAACTCAATGAGTGGAATACACTGTGGCTAGCATTGCATTTCCAGCCTTCTAGATTTCCAAGTGCATATTTAACTCTGTGAAGGACGGGCAGTTTTCATTGGTGTGTGTGTGTGTGTGTGTTTTCATTGGTGTGTGTGTGTGTGTTCAGCATTGCTCTTGCTACAATTTTGCACTTAGCATCCTTGCTAAATAAGTGATCATTTATGGTTTCTGTAAAAAATAATACACTTATTTATCATCAAAAAGAACAGCTTAGCACATTTTGAAGCATATATAAATCCCTTCCAGTGGATTTGGCCATTCTGGCATTTTTTTTAAAGCCTTCATAGCTTATTTTAGGGGGTGGGGGGAGTTTGAACCTTCTCTCCTCATTGAAAGAGTGAGACTGGCGTTCCAAGGACTTACAGTGAAGAATGTCCTTGTTGCTTAGGGAACCTAAAGACCAACTTGCAGGGTTGTAAGAAACCCGTGTGCCACACACTCTCCAGTGACACGGAGGAGACTTGGCCAAGTTAGAAAAGTCCCACCAGAGCTCAACCGGAGGACACCTTTAGTATCCCAGGCTATGCTACGCTCAACCTCCCCACTTCTCCCCACCCTCACCCAGGGAGAAGGCCTCAGCGGGTCCCTGGCTTCTCCACCCCCCCAGCGGCGAGGAGCTCGGCGGGGAGACCAGCGCTGCACACCGGTCGAGCGGAGCCCGGCTGGCCCAGCGTCGCCCCCAAGGGGCTCCTGACCGGGCGCGCTCAAGCGCACGCGCGCGCGCGCGCGGCCTCGCCACACCCCTCCCGAGCCTGGGGACCCACTTGGCGGGCGCACGCGGATCCGGGGAGCGAGTCCACCGCGGGGACGAAGGGAAGGACTCACCTTCTCCGTCTCGGGCCCGGCCGGTGAGTCGTGCCTCTGCCGAAGTTGCCAACCCCTCACTGCGAGAACCCGGGCAGCGCGCGCCGCGC